TAAAGCAACAAGCATTCATGCAGTTAATGACCTGACTACTTCAAGTCCTGTGCAAAAACGCATGATTGCACGGGCCCGCCCGGTGCGTTCCAGCCTGGGTTTTTTTTTTTCAGATATTCAAATTTTTGCACTTTAATGGTGATCCAGTTGTTGGTGCAAGCGTCGATGCTATTCGAGCTGGAATCCCGCGGAACGTTTTCAATGCTTATACATTTGCGGATGACATTGAAAATTTGGCCTCAGAGGGTCTCATTTATGCCACTTCTGATGATGAGCATTTCGCGATAAATGAATAGTTCGCATTGTATCGGAATCTTGATTGCTTTTAAGTCAGGTTTTTATCGTTGCATCCTGTGTTCTTCAAAAAGCACTCTCAGAAGTTTTTTTTTTTTGAGCTTGTTCTTGATTGAAATATCCGTTTTTGCGAAAACTTTTCATGGCAACTTTTAATTTCTCGTGAAATACTGAGGTGTGGAGTTTGCCACAAACAGATCATCACCTCTTCTCATGTACTTTTTGTAACAGATTTTTTTTGTTATCATTTTTTTCTGCTGCATTTTACATTTTGATGTATGATAAACTGAAAGCATTTTTGCGAAATTTCATCCAGCATATAGTCAGTCTTTTGGGCTCCAATGAATATGAAGACAAAGAACAACTGAATTTTGAGCTGCTTCCATACTCATGCAGCGTGCGTGCAACAGATTAGGCGAATGGCGAATATATGAACTAAAGAATAGGCTCGAGCATGAAGTTTCTGTTCAACACGTACTGGGAGGCGAAATTGGCATATGCATAATTATTTGGAATTGTTTTTACTACAATAATTGCGCGTTTGCCTTCAAAAAAAAGTCTTCATAATCCGGTTCATCATATAGCCCTACATCAAAGAAGTAAAAAACCCTTTAAATTTGTTAAAAATTCATTAGTAAAAAAAAAATTCTTAGTAAATTTCTCTGATGTTTCTTACAAGAAGACTGGATGATGGTTTTGAGTACCCACATATGCCACCACCAGTTTACCATTGAAACGAATCGTAGAAGGATTAGTTGTCTGACCGGCGAAGTCGCACCCTCGACCTACTGCACGGCAGTAGTGCTACCGCGCTGTGCT